CAAGTAGTTGGGAATACAAGCATGCATCACCACGCCCAGTTATGGTACTTTTAGTAGAGACAAGGTTTTTCCATATTGGTCAGGCTGGTCTTGAACTCCCGACCTCAGGTGATCTGCCTGCCTCAGCCTCTCAAAGTGCTGAGATTACAGGCGTGAGCCACCGCACCCAGGCCCTTTTCTCTTTTTAACTACTAACAGTAATGTCATAGTCTGAAAAATAATTACAATTTCATTGGCAACATTTTGTAATGTATTTTTATTGAATTTTCATATTCACTTCTGATTAGTATTTTTTAATACCAATGACTCAAAGGTAAAAAGAAAATGACTTACATTGTTAACAGGTACTGTGTTAGAGGTAGAGTAGCTGGATTAAAGTAGTCCTGAATGTTTTTCAAAGTTGTCAGTTCTGTGCTAGCATTACAAACCAATAACGCATGGACAACCACTGTACAGAAGATGCAGAAAATAAACATTTGATGTAAACAAAATGGACCATAAAAACTATGTTAAATGTCCACAGAACTCAGAGTTTGGCTACTAAATTAAGCACATGACATAAAACAAACTCTTAAACACACACAGAGATCCCAAACTCACATTCATTAAATTACTATGCTATCTGCCCATTTGTTTTATAATAGGTACCCATAAATTGCATAATTTAAATCATATTTGGACTTCCATACATCAGCAAATGAACAAGAACAGCTGTGTTGAGTTAGTACCCAGTGGCACAACTTCACAGACAGCAGTTCCCTTTAATTAACATATCACTTGTGCCATACAGTAGTATTTGTATAATTTTTAAACACTTCCTTGTATTTTTTCTTCAATTACTTTACAGAAATATATGGAAAACAGAAAACCAGAACAATCTAATTAGAAAATTAGAACAAAACAATCCCACACACAGCATTCTTCCTCAAGGAAATATCTATATATTCAACTTTCATACACATTTTCAGGAACACATTGTACACAACAGTAAGAACTAGAGGTGGGTGCTTTTTGTTGGCTTTAATCAAATAGTGCATCTTATGTCTATCATTCTTTTTAAATATAGACTAAAATGAGCATAGTAATACTCACTGTTGGTGGGCCAGTTAGAAGGGAAATAGCCTTTCAAAGGCAGTAGTTCTATCTCATTGATAGATGATGGTCCAAAGAAAGCACTACACGCAATAAAAGTATCCAGCTCAAAGTCTAGGGTTTTTGAAACCACCCAAAGGTCGTCTGAAAAGACAAACATTTTAAAATACTATACAGACACATGTATGGTTCTATATTTTTTTAAATTATAAGTATTTGCAAATGTGTGTACATGCATCTATAGCACATATTTACCTACACATGATGAGAAGTTCTGGAAAGATATTCATCAACTATCAACCTAAAGGTTGGTAGTTCTCCTGAACAAAAGAACCAGTATCAGATTCTGCAATCAATACAGTACCTCTTGAATCACATAGAAAAAGACTAAAGAGGTGGCAGAATTACAGAGTGAGGAAGAAGGAAGGCAGAGACATCACATGGGAAGATAAGTTAGGTACAATGGGAATCCCTAGGTTTTGCATGAACCCACATAAGGCCTAAGAAGGCAGGACATGGACCAGCACATAAGACTATTATATTAATCCGTTCAGGCTGCTATAAAAAAAAATCTCAAATGAGTAATTCACAAATAGTGGAAATTTATTTCTCATAGCAGTTCTGGAAGCAGTTGGCTTCCTTTCTGTAGAGAACAGAGAGAAGTGGAAAAACCATGGAAAACCTTGAGTTGGAGGGGCTGTTTTTAACTGGTGTATGTTTCCTTGAACTGATTTTGGCAAAGGGCAGAAGGGCTGTAAAGAAAGAGAGGATCAAAGAGGGTGGGGAGGCTTTTGGAGTTCCGTTCTTGCTTCCCATCCCATCCTCCCCGCATCCACAATTGTCCTAGGACAAGTAGGGACTACCTATCCATAAGACAATTTATACTCCTAGTCCAGAAATCCTCTGGAGGGGAAAAAAAAAAAATCAGGGCAGCAATGCAACCTCTGTGCTCTAAAGAGTGGAGAGAAACAGATGGTAACTCATTGATCACAGGCAGTCTCTACCTCACCTCCAAACTCCTAGAACTGAAGAATTTTACAGTCTAAGAAATTATACCTCTTAATGTTGCTTTTTTCCTTTAAACAGAGGGTTTAGACTTCACTTTAGGGATTATTCTGTGGGTAGCTGTGATTTTCTGGTGCCTGGTGCTCTCCACTCTATAGCTCAGTTAAGCCTTCAACTCCCTGAGCTCCTCAGAGCTGACCAGATTGGGGTGGGCCTTTCCCGACATACATTTCCAGAAAGAAAAGCTGATACTGCCAAGGGAAAATGAGTTCACAGACCAAAATAATGAGACATTTGAGGAACACAAAGACTTAAAAAAAAAACTGGATTATAGATTCATATAGAAAAGAGAAAGCTAGAATAGATAGACAAATAATTTAAGCTTGGCCTGGTAAAGAGACGAAAAGAGGTAAAGGAAGACAGTAACAAGGTAAAATAATAAGGGCTGAGTGCAGTGGCGCACACGTGTAGTCCTAGCTACTTGGGAGGCTGACATGAGAGAAGTGCTTAAGTCCCAAAGTTTGAGACCAGCCTATTAAAAGTAGTCAGACCTCATCTCAATAAACAAATACATATGTACTTACATACAAGAAAACAGGCCAGGCACTGGCTCACACATATAATCCCAACATTTTAGGAGGCTACATCAGGAGGATTACTTAAGCCCACGAGTTCAAGATATGCCAGGGCAACATAGCAAGAGCCCATCGCTACAAAAATTTTTTTTAAAAAACTAGCTGGGTGTAGTGGTTTGCACCTGTAATCCCAGCTACTCAGGAGGCTGAGGTGGGAGAATCTCTTGGGCCTAGGAGGTCAATGCTGCAGTGAGCCATGATTGCTCTATTCCAGCCTGGGTGACAGAGTAAGACCCTGTCACAAAAATTAAAATTTTTTTTTTAAATATGAAAAAGAAATGAACAGAAATATTAGGTTGGAAAAATATGGCAGTTGAAATAAAGTTATAATTGATAAATAGTAGAATAGATACATTTGAGCAATAAATAGCCAATTCAAATAATCATATTGATACTTCCCAAAAGTAATAAAAGACAAAAATTCAGAAAATATAAAAGAAAAATTAAGAGATTTGGAAGACGGATCCAGAGTGCTAACATTTGAATAACAAAAGACCTTGAAAGGAGAAAAAGAATAAAGAGGAAGATTATTTGAAGAAATAATGAAGATCAATTTCCCAGAAGTAATAAAATAATAATAATGAACTTTAGATTTAAAAGGCCCATAATGTGCCCAAAAGGAGAATAAAAGGAAAAACCAAGTTAGACACTGCATAAAGAAATATAAGACTATCAAAATCATGAAGAAAAAACTAAAACTCTCAGTCAGAAAAAGCAAATAAAAAAAAAAAAAAAAAAAAAAAAGAAGAAGAAGAAGAAGAAGAATCAGAGTGCCAGCCAGGCAGGGTGGCTCACCCTTGTAATCCCAGCACTTTGGAAGGCCAAGGCAGGTGGATCACCTGAGGTCAGGAGTTTGAGACCAGCCTGGCTAACGTGGTAAAACCCCGTCTCTACTAAAAATACAAAAAAATTAGCCAGGCATAGTGGTGGACACCTGTAATCCCAGCTACTCAGGAGGCTGGGGCAGGAGAACTGCTTGAACCCAGGAGGCGGAAGATGCAGTGAGCCAAGATTGCACCACTGCACTCCAGCCTGGGTAATGAGAGTGAAACTCT